ATATAATGTTTCTTTCGGTTTGTATTTGTTTTACAGTAGATTGTATTCCAAGTTGCCTCCATCGTCTCGGCAGACCCTAGTTCGTGCTGTTCAGTGTTCAGCTGCGCTGATAGTGCTGCTAACAGCCTTGTGTATTCTGGTGCTTGTGGCATCACGGGGAGGTGATGAGGGCGGACGTGCGACGCTGCATTCCGACGACTTCTTTGGTGATTCGATGTCTAACAGAATTGGTCCTGGCGCGCTCGCTGTGGTGCCGGCCCCTACTGACCTTGTAGACAGATCTCAGGTGATCATTGTCAACCGTCGCAATCCAACCCAGTCAGCCGAACAAGCCGCGCAGTTATCTGACTTGTTAACGCTGGTAGGCGCGTACAATGCGACAACACAGGACGCTGCCTTTCCATCGCAACTTATCCAAACTGTCCAGCCCGGTTGTACCATGGAAGAACAGTTTGGATATCGACGTGGCGAGCCTTGCGTAGCAATTGTGCTTCGCCCTAATCCCGTTTTCGTGCCCGTACTGTTGCTCGAGGCGGCTGGCGCTTCAGATGTCACCGATCGTAGCAGCAATCTGTTAGAACTTCAGTGTCTCTGCGAAAATAGACGCAGTGTTAAGATTGCCTACTTACCGTTCCGCGGCTTCCCATTGCGTTTTTTCCCGCGCTCAGCACGTGCCTCACCATTACTTGTTATGTTGCGATTCGAAGATCTACCACTTAAAACCGAACTACGCATCTCGTGCGGCCTTCGCGGTGCTCAAAACGTTGATACACGCAGTGATCGGGTCAATTTCCAGATAATGGTCATCTAGGGAGCAGCTTTTTTTATCAGATCTAGGAAAGATGTTCCGTTGGAACTGTGGTCGACGCAGGTTTTGCTAAACGAGGTCGTTGGATATAACTGATAAACGTGTGGCACGGGCCATCGTTGACCATATTTCCTCACATGCTGAAGCCCCAAAGAATCAATCGTTCCTAAAATAAAAGTTCAAAGTAAAAGACCAACGACAGTAACAGCTATATGCTAAACTTATCATGAAACGCTACATACACATATACACGTTTAAGGCAGATTTTTTAAAACCGAGAATGAAGTAAACAAGCATGCATAATGATCAATTCATAGACACGCACACACCGACTCATATAGACTTAGAAACATATGAACATCGAATTACATCATATAGGAGACAAGCCTGAAAAATTGAGTGGCACGTGACCTTAGAATTTAGACGCGTGTTTTTAATGTACAGCAAATGACAGTGTTGTCAACCTATAATATAAATAAGGCGCGTATAATAGGATTTTTTCTACGTACCTTTCAAGCAATTTAGTACTGAAACAACGTTATCAAGGAGAGGAACGTGAACGATGGTTTGTTGTGATGTTTCGATCATCCATTATTGTTACTATTCACTATACACGGCGAAAATAACAGGCGTTAAAAAAGCGCTATGGTGCTGGTTTGCTCATCGGTGGTTTGACATCACGTATTTGACGTCGTTCATAATGTGTATGACGTGGCCAACTTTCGCACTAAGGGTTCTCACCGGCAGATTAATATAAGTCTAGTAATACAAATAATTATTCTAATTGACGTAATGTTAATAATAATACTGAAAGTAAAAGCAAGAAGAACATGAAGCGTTGTGAAGAATATGTAACGAACTATAAACTGACGTGGCAGAGTTTATAAGTTTTATCGCAGGTAAGTCGATAGGAATGTCAAGAGAAAAGTAGCTGTAAACAATCACATTTGTACATATTCAATTGCACTGATGGAAGTGGCTGAAAATGGGCGGTTGAAAACCAAAAAAAAAATTGAAAACAGTTTTCCAATTTTATGCTGTAGTTTTAGTCTAAAAGAGGCAGTGACTATAATATTATTATCACACTTACGGCATAATTTGTTCATAATAATAATAATAATAATAAAAAAATATTAGATGATAGAGTTTCTAGTCGTCTTACAAATGGACATCGAAAATCATGATATTGTCGGAAAATATGAGAATAAATGACACAAGTTGGTGATTTGAATGTTTTTAATCAAAAAAAACTACATGCTTCCGTTTTAATTATGAAATTATTGACTTTATTTAGCTAGACCAGAATTTAGATTAATGGACTTTTCGAGCGTCAAAGATTGCAGTCACAAATGTTTAAGTTTCCGCATGACATTCTATTGAATGCAACCTTATTTAAATTACTTTGTAACCCGTAACGAGCATGTTATATGAATTAAATAAAACGACAGTAGTAACGATCTGAACTATAGCTCGTAGGAAATGGGCAAATAAATATTACCCATTTAAATTAACAGATCTCAAGGTTTAGAAGGCATAATTTTGTCAAAACAACTAACGATAACGCCATAAAGAAACAGTAAAGGTGTCAGGCGATTTTGAGATTAGGACGTGAGGATTTTCTGAAATTTATGCTAATGAAAACTAAGCATACGACAAGAATGAGCAAAGATGCTTGTACCTTTAACTGCGAAATGCACAGCGGGTGTCTTTCCTAAATTGCACCTTCTAGAAATTCTAGTGTTTAATGCAATCAAGCACGCAAGTGTGAAAAAAAAATGTTTACAGATGTAGTATTTAACTAACATGTTTTCTTCTAAAAACTGCATTTTGATTTCTTTGACTGGGTATTGAGACTGGATGTAAAGCGATATCAATGAAACAAACTTAGCTATTCATCTTTATTAGGTAGCATTCCAAATACTTGAAAGATATACACCAACATTTACAACAACTTGGCATACTGAGCTTTACAAGCTATCTTCTAACGTAATATCACAGCTTCACGAACCTGCTAATGGCATAAGACAGGTTCTGAAATAGTTAATCTAGGATTAAAAGAATTATTAATTCAGGATCCACCAATGATTGCATTATACACTATGATATAGCCATTTCTCGGTCAGTTTCCGAGCCAGGCTACCCAGTAATTAAATTTTTAAGTAGCGGGAAGCATGATACGATCACAAGTTTGCCTACAACTAGTAGAAGATAATTTGCTTTATAAAATTTTTGTATTCTGCATAGATGAAAACGGTGCACTGCATAGTGTGTCACTACATGTATATTAAGTCGATTTATGTGATGGACGAGATCTTCTCAGGTCTCATCTGTCACATAATTCGAGATCGACCTGGACGAATTTTCGATCCCATTTCACCAGGTTCTTTGGAAGTGCTGAGGTGGATGATAGATAAAATGGCGACAAAGGTCCACGCCGTATATGGAATCACTGGTAGAAGGTAGACGTGCCTGTTACGCATTGTCCGGTGCTCAATCTCAAGGCTCCTTTAAGGAACGAGGCCTTTTGGCGGTCCAAATGTTCGAGATTATAGACTGTCAGACTGTCCCAGACTAAGCTCCGGAAAGCTATTCCGGAAGCGATAACTAATGCAATCGTGAGGACGAAAAATCGCAAAGTGGTTAAGAGGGGCAATCAGTTAGGGCTAAATATTAAGAGCGAGGCTATAGAAGTTTTTCTGCGTCTTTCTGTGACTCGGAGAAAACTGTCACTGTTATAAGATATTAGCAACTCCACATAACCCACCTATTAATTAACATATGTCGGCAGCGGCCTGACAGACATAGCGCACCACGAACCGCAACTCTGCCACTTTTCCAAATTTCACTGGCTCGCGTTTAGTTTAGTTGATAGTTCCAATTCCGAGACGACGGAAGATTCACCATATACCTGGACCCACGTATTTTGTCTGGAAGGAACTAAGACTGATAAAATGAGAGCTCTTCAGTTATCGGCCCGGGTCACATTTATGGCTTGGAAGAACGCTGGCAGCTTCGAAACACAGTCGTTGGTTGTAACTGTTTTATCATAGAGTATTGCTGTTAGATATACAATAGTTACGCAAAGTTGTCAAGCTGTCTGCAATATAATGTATTGAAAAGTTTCTGAAACAAGTACAAGATTTGGGACCTGAGGTAGCCTTATATAAGTATACAATTATGGATCCTCGCTTTGGGTTATATAGCTTCAAATGTCCTCATGCTCCTGCATCGTATATCGAACATTGGACATCCCCAGCAAATAAAACGGACATGCAAGGGTTTTATGTGGGACGTAATTCCCAGGAAAAAGGGTAGTTCACGTTAATATCACTGTTAATCAAAAACTATCTATTATGACCACATAATTACTATCTTTATTTTGAAACTTCGCTTTTTCTTTTAGTATCACCCAAAACCTAAAAAGACTAAAAAGCTGAGGTAAACCCGTCATTTATTCCAGAACACGCTTTTTTTTTCGATATAATCGAGAATTTTGCCTGAACTTGAAAATCATAACAGTCACTCCTTTGATGTGGCTGCTTAGTAATGTTATCTTAAGTAGTTCCAATATGACCATTAGTGGTTGAAGCACATGGTTGAAATCAAAGATAGTGGGTTTAGAGCCTCAAGTTAAGATTTATAGAAAAGAGTTACAGTCCTTGAGACCAACTGATTGGTACATTTTAATGCGCTATACTTATTTAATTGGATACGAGATCCGGGTCTTTCGATCAAGTCATGGCATGCATTGAGCGACCTTTCAAACTCAGATTTCGTAATGCATGATCACATGAAGAGCTTTGTTTCCTCATCTCTTTATGTGACATCACCGGTCAGCAGTAACAAGGTGTTTATTACTTTTTGAACGATTTTATGTGTGCGAAAATAATACTTTAGTTACTTTACAGCCAGGGCTTATCTCATAATTTCGGGAACAGCATGAGAATTTTATGCTTTAAAGTAAGAGGGCGGAGTCTCAGCTTGGGACATAAACTAGCAAGCCTCCAATTATAATGTAGCTCATGAGTGATTTCTTAATGGCCTTTAGTATTTTTAAAGCTTACAAATTAAACCTGGTATATCTATAAACATTCTTATTCAATGTATAAATAGTATTTATATTATTTGTATTTGTATTTAATTCACTTTTTGTCAATATTAATAAAAGTGCAGAGTCTATATTACAGGCGCATATACTTTCTTCATCCTACCAATAAGTTTTTTATGATAAGCGATTTTTTTAAAGTAATGTCAGTCATTTCATTTTTACATCAATAGATTCCGGCATTCAGTTGTAAAACCCTGCATCGGTGTGATATAGTCACCCCACCACATTTTGCAACATCCTTAATAGTAGTTATATAGTATATTATGTAATTGAGAAAAAATATATATATTTGACACTCTAGCTTACCTTTATCGTATTGTTTTTCCCATTATTCATTGACGGTTACTTATCACTACAGGTTTTGCCATTGCGCTAAAGCTATGTCATAGTGATACATATATTTGTATGGTTAGCCGCTATATTGTATTAGCTTTTCGTCAAGGAATCAATTATACATTCGATATGTGTGTTATATATATATATATATATAGCACTATTACCTGTGCATCCCTAAGATAATGTACGCTGGTACGAACAGTATATTTATCATTTACCCTTTGCTTTCTCTCCTCCGTCCTCTCGTAACCACCTTTCATGCAGGGTTTATGAAGGATTAGATTTATATATTATTTTCTGTTTTTTTATCGTTTTGTTTTGGAACCCCTCGCTCTGTGTAATAATTTACCGTGTTATCTTGGATCCTGCAAGAGCCGTACATTTAATTGAAAATATTCGAACCAAACTGCTCTCGCTACTCGGTCAGTATGGCAACAAGCGGCACTACAAATTCATGAAGCTATTTAGCTTTTGACACCGAGATTCATGAGCTTATTTTTCGATTTCTCACACATGGTCTTCACTACGTTCACATAAACGCCCAATGCTTGCCAACGCCAACTATTATTTTTCCCGATTAAATTTAGGGTGAGCTTGGAACTGCTTGGCCTAAACTCGGGTTCTGAATCCGAATTCGTTGTAGCTATTCATTATCCCATCACGCTACTCTTTGTGATTGTGGGAACAAGCAAAAGGATCTTATTTCTGCGCTACAATTCTAACGCAGCCGTCGCTGAACAACTATTGAATCGTTATTGGCTATTTCGCCGATTCAAAGCGATTTTTTTGTGTCAATAAATCTTAACTTGCATAAAGAATGAATATATTCTTAAGAATGAAAAAATAATAATAATCGCTCCTTCAAAATTCCATACAAGTGTAAAATCAACAAAAACACCAAACAAGCAAGCAATGTAGAAACACCGATATTTTTCAGGCACTGTTGGAGAAAAAACAATATTCGCCACTACAATAAAAAACTTTTTTTTCTAAAATCCAACTTCGCGGCTTTTCTGTAGAAGTCAGACAATTTAACAGTCTTTCTACTTAGACGTTGTACAAACACTTAAGTCTAAAAAAAATATCTTAACAAATAATCCTTCACAAGGTAACCCTAAGGCTTTGGATATCTTTGGCATAAAATCGATTTTATCCAAACATGTTGGATTCAGCACGACGCTTTCTAATAATGCCAGACTCTTGTACAAAATACCATAAAAATCTACGGTGGTTACATAGACAGGAGGCGGCATTCAAATTCAAACAAACTTGAGCTGGCTATTTGTTGTAGCGGGCATATGTTCATTCGCCATTCTTAATACTAAGGAAATGCCAGTACATTGAAAATAAGAAACTCATCATGATAAAAAAACAGCCTGCCGTTTTTAGGATTTGTGTCAATGTCTTCATGCGGAATAAAGCTTTACCAATACTATAAACTTCTTCGGTTACCCCAAATGGAAGTCTACGACACAACAAAACGGGCGAAGCAGAGGTTGTTCCAACACAGCATAACGGAGAATCCACAGTAAAGAAGAAACTACGGGCTCGAGAGTTAATCGATGCCGTCGAAAACGGCGGTTCTGGTGATCTTTCTATTTTGGCCCGGGCGTTAGCGCAGGAATTTGATGTGAGCGAACGTACCGTGTTACGAACCATCCCATCACAGACTTCAGATACACATGACATATCATAAATGTTAAACGCTCTCTGGCGCTAATAAGACCAAGAGATTCGATCTGTGTTCCACCAGAAAATATTTACTACCTATGCAAAAATCAACTGCAAAAATGATCATCAGCTTACTCATTATTTAGGGGATGTGCAGAAAAAAATCTCAGCTATATATTCTGAGTGTGGTGTTCCGTGAAAGAGACGCCACGGCGCCTAGCTTCTTCCAGAACGGCGAACGCATCATCAAATAAGTTATTGTTTTCCTCAAACAGTCTTACAGTTTCCTACAAACAGTCTACAAGCCGTGGGTAGCTGAGTTGTCTCAAGGAAGGTCATATGATTTCCATCGAGATGGTAGAGTGCCTCATATTGTCCGATTACTGCAAGGTTCGCTATCTGAACATATAAGCATGCCCTGCAGTGAGCACATCTTACTGCCTGGCTGCCCAGGTTTTGATCCGCAAAACTCTTGTATAGTGTTGTTACGCGGAAGTACAATGTATCTTGGCATTACAATATCGACTTGTCCGTTCTCAAAAACTGTCAGTTTTTTTAAACTTAGTTTCAAAAACTAAAGGGTGCAAAACAACCAATACGAACACAAAAATGTAAAGAAGCACAAGACGTCTCAAAAAAGTAAGCATTAGAACTTATGTGAATGACCCAAATAGCAATTGAATTTTGTTCTTGGAAACGACTGTGAAAGATTCGGATGTATCGAAACTGGCTCTCTGGGTCATTTTGGTATATTTCTATCGCCTTTAAATCTGAACTTTATTGAGAATCCTTAAATTTGCTTCCTGAATATCTTTCTCAGATTTTTCAGAAGCCGCGCGAAAACTGGTAATAACTTATACCGTCGATTTCGGCCAAAACAAGAAGGTAATGATCTTGTCAAGATCTCGTCCCTCATGAAAACGCTGGACAACAGCTCATCTTCATTCAAGGTCTGAAGACGACGCCTTCGTTTACGTCACGACGAGTTTGCTGTTTTGTTCTAGAATGAACTAGTTTTATTCTGGTATCAAGGAAAGCGAGTAAATGTATGCACGCTACGATAAGCAGCCCTCTAAACCTGGTGCAAATTTTAGTGCCTTACCTTTTTATATACTCACAAACCATTACTGCTTTAGGAGCGTACGATATAATAAAAATAGTGTCATTTTGCTTTGAGGCGAGAATACTGATGAGACTGATTTGTTTAGAAATAATATTTTAAGATTGAGCGTTTAAGAAAGTACTCGTTGTAGATATTTGTGTGACCTGGCAAAAGATAAACTTGCTAAAAAGTACTTTGAAACCAGTTCAAAGAGTTTGCAACACCTAAGTGTAACAGTTATTAATAAACCGTCAATGTTCAGCTAGGTGAATTTGTTTGATAAATATAATTGTTTAAAAGATAAAGAAATTTTCAAGAATCAGTTTGTGGGAATCTATGTTTTTCTGCTAGGCGACTGCTGTTCTTAGATAAGAAATTACTGCATAATAATTTATTCAAGTGCAGCAGGTGATTGCAGTCGTATTACCTGTGGCTTGTCATTAATGAGTAGATACACTTACATGTAGACTCAAAAAAATTAGAAGCGTGAGGTTTCTTATAAGGTATGGTCGTCAGACAGGGAAAGAGTGTTGACCTAAGTCGCTTTCCCAAAAAAGTTGATAGGTTGACGCATGACGCGGGCAAAGTCATATTGTTTGCTAAAGCCATACAGACGCGAATATTATGTAAAATAAAAAGGGATTTCAACCCCGTCAAAAATTCTTCAATAAAATTACAAAAACCATAGCTGTTGCAATTTACTCCAGTTACTGTAGCTATGCTTATTACTGCTACTCAAACATTGTGTATATAGGCACAACAAGATATTATTTAAGTAAGGTGTGATGACATATTGTTGAATGCATTAATTAAGGTGACAACCAAAAAAACACAAATCTGCGACTCTCCGCAACTTAAAGATAGAAGAGATAAATTTAAAACTAACCAACGCGAATCTGTTGGGATATACAATAGACGACAGTAGATTTCGAGAAAAAGGGAGTGTAAAAACAACTAGTTCTGCTTCTGAATTTCTTTTTTCAGGGTTGATATTATTAAAGTTGGGAAATAATAATTAAGAACTTCGAAAACATTTAAGAATTACCAAACAAGGTAGTACCATGGCAACCAACTAGACTGAAGCTTTATGTGCTGAGATTTGTTGAACACTACCGTTAAGGACTGCCGGTTTCATATATGCCGGAAATAGAATGGCCCATAACCCCCATTTCATTTCGTACGGCTTATAGCGTGGTCCTGTGCCTTGACCATAAGGTGGTCATATGATGTAATTCAATGTAATGATTTTTATAAAACCTAACGTGCTTTCAGTTTGTCTTTAAGAATGTAACTTTGGGACAGGCAAAACCGTAGTAAAAAAAACCAAACAATCTGTTTGTTTTGTTTTTTCATTGTTCAACAAAACGTTATCGAATGCCTAGCTACCCCAAAAAGCTCCCGTTTTTTAAAATTTGGTCAAAAAATTAGCGGCCCAAATCGCACTGCATTCTTGACCTTTGTTTATAAAGAAAAGTCTTCAAAATTTGATAGCAAATGTTTAAATCAGCGTAACTTTACCAAAAAAATAGGAAGTGGCCCATATTGTTCCATCTTTCTCTACTCTTTCAAGACAAATTAAAATGATAATAAAATATAATAATATAAAAATTTAAAAAAATATAATAAATAATAAAATATAAATATCAAAAACGATAATAAAAAGATAATTAATAAAAAAAAACTGGTCCAAAATGGGCATATGTTACCTATCTAGTCAGGACAATGCTTTTGTTTATAGTCAGAAAGCACGAAATATTTAATTACCCGGAAAATTAAGACGATGTTTAAACGCATTGTGGAGTATAGGCTGTGCCCACTGCTGCTACTAGTGTTAGAAGGTTTCCGGGTGCAATTAACGATGTTATATATTTATATCCGATAATAAGTTTACGGATCTCTTTACTGAATAAAAAATATCACATTTTTAATTCCCATGAACATAAATTATTGTATTATATTTGCCATGCGGGTTTAATCTCCAAGTAGTCTGAGCTCGATTTTTGATCGCGATGATGATTGCCTGGTAAACAAAAAAGACGAAAATCCGTCGGCACAATATCCGTAGTATATGGAAATTGTAGGAAAACTTCCCATAGTTCAGGAGAGCAGCTTTGATGATGCCTGCCGTACGTGACCTCACGTTGTTATGAAGCAGGATGATTTGACTTAGTTTATAAGACCTCTCTCGAAAAGTCTGGTCGGCTCAATATAACTGAGCCAAATAAATGTGCTAATCAGCTGTTTGGTTTGTGGGAAGTAACCCTTAACGAGCCAAGTTTTTGCACCTCTATTAAAAACAAAGCATAAATTTTTTCCGATGAAAATCTGATTGAACCCTGGAACCTGGAACCCTGGAGCTTCTTTCATCGAGCCACTCATTTCGAATATGCACAGATACTACTTCTCATTACCGGTGATATCTCTGTGCAAAAATAAGTCGCTCTAGATACGTGACAATCAGTACCGGAGAGAATGTTGACAGCTACATACCCAATAAACTTCAGGCAGTTAGCGACATCTGTGGAGCTGCATATCATCTTTGGTTAATTTGCGAATTTTTTTTTGATTGTTTTTTTGAAATGTCTTTAGGTGGTCGTCATCGGGTTCAGATGGTTTCTCAGAGCGGAATGCATCCTGTAGTCCCGAATACTGTTTTCAAAGTTAACACATAACAGCAACAGTCCTTTCAGAGATAACACCGTTAGAGAACACATGGCATACATCCTGGGCTGTTTCGACAGTATTTTGGCTCCGATGAAATGCATCCAGAAGACATTTTTTCCATTTGAAATATCTATTTTAAGAAATTTTTTTGAATTGACATTGCACTCAGAACAAAATGCCGTTACATCACTCTAACAGAACAAGAAAAGCTCTTTCGAAAAGTATACCAGAAACAAACAACAAATGAGACGAATTGGAAAAACGAAGCTTTTAAAAAACGCGGGAACCAGTTACCTATATATGTATATAAAGTGAAGTATTAACTAAATTGGAATAATAACAGTTCGAGTTCTATCAAAGATTTAGGCTACAGGTCAATGGTTTGCAAGATTAACAACTTATAGTACTAGTGCAAAACGACCGTGAAAAGATGGCTTAATTCAGAACGCACAGATTGAGCGAAGCAGAGATCCATAATAGCGCAACCTTAATTTTCCTATTAGTTATTTATCATATTGAGTTGGGCAAGGAGAAAGGCAGACTTCTGTCTGTTAACTAAATCTAAAAAATAATTATAAAGGTTGTAATAATGTGACGTATATTATGATATAATAAATTCAAAAAGTCATATTTTAGTTTGCCTTGAATTTGCTTGACCCGATTACCGCGCTTGAGCAATATTTAATTCATGTCGATAACCTCAAATTTCTGACACGTTTCTGTTTAATTGTTTCTCAGTCGAGTTTTATTTGTGAAAATTAAGGCTATCCAATCTTATAAGGTCAAACAGTTTGGCTGCAGTGAATATACTGAAAATCTTAGCACACTACCGCTTTCCGATGAAAAAGAGAAAAAAGAATATTTCAGATATACAGATAAAATTATATATTTATTATCAAGTTTGCAGTTCCTTGCGTAAAGTTTACATAATTAAATCCACTTGCATTTGAGTCATAGCTAAGCAATAAATAAAATATTTACAACCAATAAAATAGATCTGGATACATTTACAAATAATGAACAAAATATGTGTGGACAGGGTTTCCTTCAGGATTTTTTGAGGCAACTTCAAGGATAACATAAGAATTCGGCGTGACAACCGCATAATAGGTACAACACAATTGTTCTATGTTGTAAGTCTAAATAGCCTATCTTAGTGTTGTATTTTTTCAGTACTATCATACTTAATCTATCAATGCGCCGGCATTCAGGAATGTATTGATTTGGCATCAGTTATTAATTAGATCTCTTTGTAAAACCCCCCGAATCATTGTAGATGTAGTAAACGATACCGGAAATTGTTGCCTGATGCCATATTGGTCACCAAAATGTTCGATATCACTTAGCATCATGAACGAACCTAACCGGCACTACTGTCCATTGTCTTTAAATATGAGGTCAGCTCGCCAAGCTTGTTATTGACGGGTGTCTACTACAACAAAAGATTGCTGGAATGGTCCCCAAACTAATCACTACATAGTTGTTAGCGATAGCTTATTCATACGTCATACTTTCATCTTATATTTTCCTAATAACAGTTTACAGAAGTTCTCTATAGCCACAGCTGCAATGAGACTTTGGACAGTAATACGGGGCATGTAAGCAATTGAGTTCGCACCATTCTAGTATCTTTTTCGAACCCGCATACCTACCCGTTGCCAGGCATCGTTTCTTCTTGTTTGAGCCCTCTGACGATGGAATTTCATTTTGTATAGGTGTGGCCTTCCTCAATGTTGTGCTATTCAATGCTGGCGTCGTTGACGGCTTCGGTGAACTTCCAAAGGTATTTGAACCCGTGCCCATTTTAGCCCAACCAAAGCCGCGATTACTGGGATGCGATGTAGTGACCTTACTATTCCAATGTGGTCGTGCTGTTTTAGGTAAGAAACGTGTTTGTGGCGAAGTGTTTTTTATTTCCGTAGTTTCGCCTCTAGGTTCAGTTGCACATGGCTTTCTTGTTGTGGGTTCAGGATAATGGCCGTGCATTTTAGTCTCAGACGGAGTCATTGGCAGACCCTCTTCCTTCTCTAAGCCTGGTTTATGGAAAGGCAAAGTGTTCCATATTTTATGGTCAGGCATTATCCTGCTGGAGTCAATATTGTTTCCAGCGGTATGCTCAGATTGGGGCCTATATGTGGTTGTTTTGTAGTTACAAATAACGGTCTTGGTCTTTGGCCAATATGTTGCTGTAAGATTTTTGTTGCCATATCCGTGATTGGGGCTCAATTTCCACGGTCTAGAGGTACTGGGATGCTGTACTCGTGGTGGCCCCGCGTGGTTCAGTGATGTAGTATACGAGGAACCAATGGCGATATCAGAGCACCCTCGGAAGGTCTCTTGGGGACCACATCCAACGCGGGATACGCCATCAGGACAACGGCCCCAGTTATTACCTTAAGCGAAATAGCAGAATCGATTACTAATATACTGATGGCCGCCACGGCAAGATGATAGAGGCGGCGCTGATCGGTCAGCTCCAGCTAACGGTTAGTGAACTTTAGAAGTTCATTAAGACTTCACTATCGGTTCTTCTTATTTACATAAAACGAGCGAGAACGTCGTTCCACTTACTGCCCACAACCCTCTATCTTTAGGATGCTTTATATCGCACCGGATGTAACCTAGGCTTGTTACCTACCACGAAAGGAAAGATCACCAAGTGGGGTTCCGCTGCGCCACGTGCAATATTTAGGTTGTCGGATTCAATAAATAGCAAAATGATCCGTACGGCATCGTTAGCATTATATAGCGGAAGTGAAAAAGTAAAAAAACGTATTACAAGTTCTCCCACCCAAGATTTTTTACCGGCTGTGTAGGTCCATTGGAAGACACATTGTGAACAAGTAAGGTTGGATGGCAGCTTTACGCGAACTTGATAACGATGATTACGGTCAGGCAGTTTATAGAGGTAAGGGTTATCGGGCATTGCCTCCACAATCTCCAACGGATATTTGGCCATGCAATCATCATCAGCGACTACCTGAATAAAGAAAATAGAAGATTAGAGCTAGATTAGTTTCGAACTACGACTGGTATGTTTAGTTGCGATTTGAACTATGATATTCACTAAAATTGAAACTGACGTATGCTTTTACTTTATTTGTAATTGATACCTTTGGGTCGTTGACTGGACACAGCCTGAATTGGAAGTGGCCTCTATGGTTGGCTGTTAACTCGACTGCAGTTTCGATTACCTGCCCAGACTGGTAGTATCTGCCAAAGTGATCACACGCATGCGGATGCCATAAGTATTATGTTAGGCTCTTGCTGGGCAATGACACTTTATCACATTACACGTTTATGAGAAATGCATATTAAAGAAGGTAGTGTATCACATCAGGTCATTATTGGTGATCACCATCGATTTATTTCTTGCTGGTTATATCCTGCCGGGATAAAACGCAGATGGACTTTATCCCGGAGTCGATGTTTTGTCAAGTGGACAAATGGTAAACGTATGGAAGATTTAGCTGAAAATGGGTTTCAATTCGTCTCTTGTTAACCCCAACTTTGTATTACGTATCGATATTATGAACGTCATGCATGAAGAAAAGCGGCAAAAAAGAGCTTCAAAAAAAGATTGCTAAAAAATCAGTCATGGGCAACAACGATAGAACTTTTCATGCGAAAGGCCGTAAGTAGATTTTAATACATCGTTGACTTCCAAACACTATTATACAAAGCCAAGATCTCCCAACCTCGGTCTAAAGTGCAGTTCAAGTCTACTAGTCGTTCAAGCATAAAGAAAAGATAAATTATTAGCTTTATTATTTACTCCTTTTAATAAAAATGAATTTCCTCTACTTTAAGAAAGTTGACTTATACTCTATAGCACGAGAGCCCTATAAATAGAGGTATATACATAACATTTTTTAAAATTATTTTTTACCGGGAAATCTGTCCCGTTGCGTACTTTCCACCAGCTTCGTTTGGCCTTGGAGTTGGAATATCCCAAGGATCGCCACATACACCACACTTCATTCCGTTCCGCATTTGACGCTGAAAAATGCCAACATGCTTTTAGGCAACTTAATTAAAACTAAAATAAACCGTGAGTTTGGTTTTTAACCGTTTATTTATGAATCACTTTAATACAATATGCGATATTAATTATTATTAATAATGAATATTAATTGCATTACCCAGGAACCCTATTAAAAGCACTTCTCAGTGCTTTTTGTGATACGGCATTGCTGACCAACAAAAGTTGATAAATAAGGATTGATTATTATTTCTTACATTAAGTACTTCGATATGTGAACGCGATTTAGTATCTCGTTCGACTATCGTTGAACGAATATGGTGTATTGAGGCATGGATCTCTTTCTTGGCAGAAATCTTTTACTTTTTTATATTTACTTAGACATGAATAGAAATTAATTGATTGACTTATAATAGTAAGACTCTGAGTTTAGCTCACGTACAATTTTTTTGAAAAACTACAATGAAACTGGCGTTTGCACCTTCATCAAACGGTCTGTCGCTAAAACTAGAATGGTATTTGCGCATATTTATTCCTGTACATGCCACTTTCACGTCTGCTTTTGGGGTATTTCTTTATGAAATTAACTAGTCTAGCTAAAATCTCACCGTGAATCCTCCACAAAACAATTCGTTGTCGTTGTAATTTCTGGGTGTTTTGAAGCCTACTCTCCACATGGAGGATCTAAAAAAGAGAACGCAAAGTAATGGATAATCAATATAAGCATAAAAAGCACTAAGAAGGTAAATCTTAATCCCTCTAATTTAGTTGGCCAGAACTAGTTATTGACTGTCACGTTCAACTGCGCATATAATTTACCGTCTTACCACTAAACATTTCAGTCAGGGTTGTTACTTTTTTTGAAGTATACTAATGTTCTTTGTGTTTCCGACAAATTTTTCGTTTTACTATCTTCGGCGCTTTTCATACATATCTACAGAATTCAAAGCAAGTTGGTACGTTCTATATATCGGTTCATTTATACCTTTGACGTGTTTCTTGTATTCATCATTCATACTTAGTTCTTTGATCTACTTATGAAGCGAATCGGTCTGTTCTAGCTTGCAAAGCTTACCTGGAAGGGGGTTCCATAAGGCGACCATGGCCTTCGACCAGCGAAGGTCCCAGAGATAGGGTAACCAGAAAAAGAAGAATTTGCAATTGCCGCATACGCCGAGAGGCCGATGGCGTGATAACACAGTGTCGTGTGGAAAAAGTAGTAGAACGCCTAGCCAAACGTGACAAAAGCGGTAGGTAGATAGGTGAGGAAAACGACATCGCGCCCGCTGTAATTAGGACAACGAAAACGATAATAAGCATTGTTTTATAGATGCTCATAATATTGTGTAGACATTTAATTATGATACTCGAAAAGCAATTTTGGTTTAGGAGATTGAATCGCTATCAGTTTACCCTACTAAAAACTTTAAAAGTATGTCGACAACTATCTTGGCAACAAAGGAGTAAAGCCGGAGGGAGTTATGCTAAATAGAACTACAGTGCAAATTAACTGTTACTTTATCCTTATAGTATACTTGTATATCATAAATAGAAACACGGGTGAACACAGAAGTAATATGTTGCCTTTACCCCAGTTTAACGGATAGTTATAAGTTGCACTTTTTGCGCGCGAACTAACAAACACAAGTTAAGGCAATCGTCCTTTTTTGCACTAACTCTCAATTAAAACTGCTAAACCTAGCACATTCGGTTTTACTTGTCTTCAACTTTTAAAGCCTGTGTTACAACATAAACTGCGAAGGATCGAAGTATCGTCACTATGGTTGTAGGCGCAAGTCAGCTTTATAAATTTTTCGTGCACCCTCGCATTAAATGGAAGGCATAACAACTGCCTCTTGCTCACACGCAGAAAGTGATAGAGAATTACTTTCTCCAAGATGCAGCTCACATTTAAACTAATATTTGGGCTGAAGTGCGTAGATGACTCAAAATAAATCAACAAGAGCAAAAATACTTTGCAGTGAATGATCTGATTTTTCTGCAGAGCAGAGAGCTAAACGCAGATGTTGCATAACCTTTGACTAAGCAGAATTTTCTATGCATGTACGACTTGTTGAGGCCTTCAGTCCGTAATACTAGCAAATCTTGGCACCATTCAAGTAGAAAAGTGATGCTCAGATTTTGGCATTGGCATATTGCTGAAAGTAGATAGAGTAGATATTTTAAGTAGGTATGCTCAGTGGAATAAAATATCTGCGGCCCTTTTAACGTACATAAACATTTTGTTACTCATACTCTTTGTGGCCAATGTGGATACTGTTTGTTAGAAAAATCTGGAGATGGTAGGGTCTGACTAATAATTTTTTCCAAAAAAAGGGAAATCTGTTTCTTTGCATAAATGCTAAGCATTTAAATAAGATCATAAAGAAATTAAGCCGACATATACTTCAAGTGATTTAGTAAGAAGGTAGGCTTATGAAATTTACATGTTTCATAGATCTTTCACGTTACTTTTAGAAAACTCTACCGCAGATCAGTGAAGCTATATATCAGTGCATAATATAGCCCTGTAGATATGTACGAATTTTCGCCTGGTCACCCGTTAGTTACGGCTTGTTTACGTTTAATGCCAAAGGTAAGGTTATCCATAAAACATACAAGTTGATAATGTAGACGTGACCGCAAAGGTGAGGATGGCAACTCGTCAATAGAATACGCTCAAATTCGTTTGTTATTCCAAAAAAACGTTGTAGCTGTTTGTCCCGGAACAGTCAGGATACCCTTGACAGGAAGACGAGTTTCACCATTTCACTAAATGCTTTACACACAGTTAACTTGAGTTAAGTTCTTACCGCGATGTCGAAGTTACCGGAGAAGTAAATTTGAAAGAGCACCAAAATTGAATATAAGGTGAGTGGCGATGAAATTTAAAAGTCAGCAATTTCATTGAAGTCCAGAACAGAAGATGACCCAGGGTCTGAGCGCTAGCTGCTTATAATAGAACCATAACTCCAGATCAGGAGAGGGTAGCACGCGGTACCCGGGAAAGGGCCCAGGGAAAAGGAAAAAGTTGATAGCTTTCGGTTCTATGTTGCAATGACACGATGAACTAAGAATTGTGAGTTGTATTTTTCTACGAAAAGATAAACGAAATTTTGAGATCGATCACTACAGCCTTTTTTTTACTGACCTATCAACCCAGAGACCACATGTTTACCGATAGTCTTGCTCTACTATCGTGGGCTTTATCGAATTATTTAAAATACGGTTATTGCTAGTATTCGTTTAAAATAGCATTTTTTTTCAAGTTACATAACAACATGATGCAATATAGATCTTATTATTACATACGACATTGATCTATTGATTAACAAGTAAATTTAAGTTTCAGTGATCACATGCAGACTCCTGGCTATCTATTTCATAAAGTATTAAAATAACGAAATCGCGTGTTCTAGTGTTTCTACTTGTTCTGAAACCATTGACAAAATATTCAAGGAAAATACGCATCACCCCTATCATATCGGCTGGCTCGCTTCTTCTGAGCCAAACAAATGGCCTTTATTTTTTCTATGCCCGAAGAAGTTTATTAGGAAGTTCGCAGATTAATTTAGCATTTCAGGGCTATTTACATTTTAACCTATTTTACTTAAAGCCTGTTCTACAATCCCCAGCCTTGAAGGGAGGGGTGCGCCCATCAGCAAGTCCGTTCCATGCAACGGAGTTCAAAAGCTCGGTTATGATTCTATGTAAAACTAACTTAGCCATTATATGCTTGTCGGTCGTAGCTGCTATTGTTACACAGACCCCACTGAGCTCACGTTACCATCGTCCAATACTAATAATGAGTATCGTGTGTTTGATTGTCTTGATTACATGCTCATTCGCTCAAATCTCTAAGGTCCGACATGTTTCCTAATTATAAAGACGCATATATCAACTTTATTTTTGTTTCTGTCGAAGAGAAATGAACTCTATGCTTTCCAATGACGACTAATTCTTGCTCGATTAATGAAAACACATGATTAGAATGATCAATATCAAGTCCGCCAAAGTTGTGAAAATAAAAATAAGCTGAAGAGCAGTATTACTAAGAAAATTAGATAACGTATAGAAGACACATCGTTACGAAATTAACTAGACTGTGAACGTCGAATAGAACTCTAATAAAGGAAGCGGCCAGTATGATAGAAAGAAAATAAAGGGGCCCGTTTCGAATAGTAGACATAGTAGTTTCTTCTGCATTACAGAAACTGGAACAAATGGCTGATAGGGTAGAGTAGCCCGTATACGCGCCGTTGTAATGCCGCGATGACTTATTGGTGCACCTGGATATTCAACCCCGATGACCAGCTGACCGAGTAATAAGAAGCGAAATTTGTTGCACTTTGTTTAATGTTAAATACATTTCAGAGTTATGTTCAGAATGATAACATGTTAAGACAGATCAGACCTATTGCTTTGCTAGTTACATATCGAAACCGATATTGGCGAACCCCTTTTGGTGTTATTTGTCAGCGATCGGCCACAATGGACATAAACATTGACAGTTTGTAACAACTTCGAATTCTTCCTGTAGATTGCATATCGCATTTTATATTAGTTATCACGAAGGAGGTCGTACACCCAGTTAACATCGCTGGCAATACTTGGCAAACGGTTATGGAATACTCACTTTCAAGTATACATGCTGCTGAGGTTCTTACTCTGACCTTATAATTTATAATTCCGTTTACGAAGAGTTCCGTTGTCAAATACAATAGTATCCTGATTAGAACGTAAGGTTGCTCTTCATTCTGTTCTTCGTCTACTTAAGCAAAGGAGAAATCGCAACGCTTCGACAACAGGGATTATTAGAACTTTTATCACAGATAATTATGTTTCGAGTCTTTACCTCAGCAGAAGACTGACTCCGACCACAAAACGAAGTGCGTCGATGTCCAGGTTCGAAGCATGTTCCTAAGATTAGCAGGCTATGTAATATATAAGTATGTACGTAATTATGTAGTAGCTACTCATTTGTCATAGACTAAGTAACCTGATTGCTCTGTTTGATGCGTAAAATTTACTTATTTATTGTTGTACACAAAATTCAAACAATATTTCAACGTACAACATAAATATATTAGCCTGTTATAACTAACCTTAGATCTTTCAAGAATATACAATGCACAACTATTGTAAGTAAAGCGTATACACGGATTACGCTTGAGTTGGGCGCAAAACTTAACAAAGCACTGCTTAAAATGTTATCATTAATTACGTTACGTTTCTAAAAAACATTGACACCTAAAAACATTTAGCCCTTTTGTTTGAATGAACATGTTTATTACTGAAAAATTTTCTCTGTTTGCCATTATAATGTGTTAACAACTAGTGCTCGAAATCGGTTCAGCTGCTTTTTGTATATTTTGCGTTTTATTTTGCTTTCATTTTATTAATTCTTTTTTAATTATGCATTTAATTTATTTTGAATGAAATTCGAGTTCCTGTTAACATCTCTTTTCCTTTACTCGCGAATATTAAAAAAAACATCGACATCCGTTCGTAGCTTTTAGTTGGCAAAGGTATGTACACTATGCTCGTGTTACCACAATGGTGCGGAAAAGCTTCAGGTAAATCGCTTTGAACTTCTTAAAGTCGCTCCTGATTAACGCAAACACCGATACTATCCCAACGAGATTTTGCGTAAAAGAGGAGATTTGACCGCAGCTTCAAAGTGACTACTTCTGGACTACAGTTACATGCATCATACACTTTTCTTCGAGTTGTGCTGTTGCTGCTGCTTCTGTCCAGAAACAGGAATCCGGAGAAAGGACTATAAAGGCGATTTCCAGTGCCGCTGTGCGGCTTGGAATGTCTATGTTTGGCTGGTTCCGAGAGCGATCGACCCCAGCGTATCGTTAAGAGCTTGATGTATTACGCGTTGCTAAGAACGTCGGAGTCTATTGAAAAATCAACGACAGAAGTCCAAGGTATCAGACAGCAACGACAAAATAACGTCCCAACAACACGACAGTGAAGGGAAAAAACAAAGAAGACAATTGCACGCACATCTTTCCCGCCCACACGAAAAAGTTTCTTCGTCATCTGACCATTTGGTAAAATCATACGACAACTGTTCAGTTCTCGTACACCTGTACGGAGAGTACACGCCAGCAGACATGCGTGTGTTTACAAGAGGAAAACACCAGCAACTGCCGCAGCAGTAGTAGCAGGAGTGACATGAACTGTTGCTGCCGCTGCTTCGACAAAACGCAGGCGTCCAGCAAATAGATCGCACACTTGCGACCATAATGAAAATCCTATATATCTCTCTATGTATATGGACAACTATACAAAAGGAGACAATGCCATCATGCTCATTTGATTTCTGTACAGTGTACGCTTTGAGCACACATCGGCTTGCTGTGCGAGTGAACATCTACACTACTAGTAGTGCCTATGTGCACGCAGGTTGTTATCGAGTATAGGAACTGAAGCAGTTCACTTGCTGAAGTAAAATTGGTTGTAAGTTAGATAAAGAACAAAATAATAGCAGGCACAGCAATAGTCACAAAGAAATTAACATACTATTACAAGAAAGTGTAGACAGACGAGAAGTCAAGTGTGTTAGAGAGTAACCCACACTATCTATGAGTTGAAAATCGTCAGATAGCTAGAGGTGGTATGTAATAATGATTTAAAACATCTGAATTTCTATTCTTAACTCATATAAGTTTCTTCCATAACTTGAGATTAATTACTAAGGAAATTCAATATCAATTAAGAAAAGCCATTTTTGGATGGACATTTGATTAAATTTGGTTCTAAAGTTAGTTATAAAATATATTTACCTGCAATAAC